CGGGAAAAGTTGACGGCGCTTTATTTTGGTGATTTTGCTATAAAAATTAATTGGCAGTTTTTTATTTGGCGATTTTTGTATACACATGCATTGCTGAGCATGCACATTAATGATTGGCGGTTTTAATATTAGCGATTGCACTTACAAACTGCCAATTATCAAAATAAAACTCCGCCAACTTTTCCTGCTATACGGTAGCAAATGAATGCATGCCCTCATGACTGCTCACAATAGAACATTGTCTAATAAGGTTCATGACTTATTAGTGAGGACTAAGATACTGATTGAACGTGGTTGGTGATACTGCATGTGTGGTTAGTAAAACTATGATAGTCTTCCCTTTGCCCATTACATATACCTCTATTGAGTTTGTATTATGTACATGTATAGTATATGATTATGTGCATCTACATGTTCGTGTACCTCTAGTACCGGTAGCATATCCTTTATTTAGGAATAAATCTTTATGCTTGTCACATTATATATTTTTATTTTAGCGCATCCCTGATACTAACTGACAGTGAATCAGGGTACAGGCACCCAAAGGCAAGACTCAAAGGAAGCACATTAGACCTTGGAAATGGAAGCCAATCACAAACTTGGCCAGTGAAGTAATCATTTAATATTATTCTACAACTTTAGTATAGTTAGTTTAATTGGTGGCGTCAAAATTTTATTTTAAAGATATTTTTTGGCATTTGCATGCATGTACATCTGTATATTTGTTCGTTAAATTACGTGTATGTGTATTTAGTGTTAGTGAAATTAATTTAGTGGTTTTGAGCCTTGCACAACACACCAAATAAACCAAACCATTACTATTGTTGTAAGGCACATTTGTGCACAATATGCAGCACATAAAGAGCATTCAAACTTGCAATGTGCATGTACATGTACTTTGTAGTAGGACAAATTTTTAATATTTCTTTTCATTCGACACCTTGTTGTTTACTAAAAATGGTTTAATGATAAAATTGAAATTTTGGAGGAAATATTTGGCAAGTTTGGCGTTTTGATAGCCATTTTCCAAAATAAAAATCTGCTTTTATGACCCATTATGTGCATACTCAATTGCATGTGGCCACGAATTTGCCAAGTTAAAATTTGCCAATCAAGAATTTTTTTTATCAATTTGCCAAATTTAACTCCCACCAAAATTTCCCGCTTAAGGTATCAATTAAGTGCTACATGTAATTGTTAATTTAGGATGAGCTGGTGTTGTATCATTTGCGTGGAACCACTGAAGAGGGAATAGATAATCCTTTTGTGCAGTTCAACAAGAAACTTCCATTCCAAGATACACTGATGAGGAATATACTGTAAGTCATGCACTGACTTGTGGTACATGTACATGTACATGTACACACATGAAACATTATTAATACTAAATGTATTAATGATGCATGTACATGTACATGTAGATATAAACTGGTTTAGGTAGACTATCCCTTAGTAAATAGTATTCAATTAAAGTACATATAAATGTACTATTTTGCTAATAGCCTAATACATAGCAATCAATATTCCGTTGGACATATAGTGCAAACTAGCTTCAAAATATTATTTCCTAATATGGCAAAATAGCATAAATTTTTATTACATTTTTTGATACATATTGTTGCCCTTAAGCTGTATCAAAAGTTTGACCTGATTCTGAAATACATGTACATGTAGATTTTGATAAATAAGGTTAAAAATATTCTTTAAAATAATATGTTAAGCACAACGACAACAATAATTACTAGTAACTATTAATACATGTAAAATGTTATGAACAGTACATGATTAAGATACAAGTTCAAAACAAGTTTTTGTATTATTTTAGTCTAAAATAAGTTTAGACTAAAGAGTGATGGTGGTGGCCTCAGCAAGCGTCTGTGATAATGACAGTAATTATTATGAGATGGACCCATTCTTATCTCATAGGTAGTCCAGACTGGACCACTGCCTGTCTTGGGCTTTGCTTTGACTTTCTCTTCTTTAGTTTCATCTTCCTTTACTGTCTCACTCCCTTCAGCAGTGACTCCTTCATTGGGACTGGCTCCTTCTCCTCCAGTTGTTGTTTCCTCTTGTTCAGTGTCTTCCTCTCCTTCTTTCTTCTCTCTTTCTTCTTTATCAAGTACGCTCTGAAGTGGACTCACTAGTGCTTCAAATAGATCTAAAAGTGGATGTGTCTCATTTTGACCTCCTGAGGAAGAACTGGGAGGAGGTTCCACCAAACGAGCCGTCAGCCTCCAGACTCCGCCCAAGGGTATCTCAGCTATAGCTGTGGTCACCTCTTCATCAGAGGAGAGGGTGATAATGTCCCCATCAGTGTCTCTATAGAAGAGCCTCAGTGTAGGAGCACTGGATTCATCCAGTCCAGGAAATAGAGAGATGATACTCTGTAAGAGACCATCATAAGTGACGTCTTCCTGGACTCGTGTCCTTCTTGTCTCTCCCATTAAGTGAATCTTTAGACTAGGCATCTTCTTTATCTCTTGTAGTAATGAA